CTTGAAGGAGGAAAAGTTCAGTTTAGTTCATGATTTCAGAGGATTCGGTCCAGTCTGTGGGCTCCGAGGCAGAGACCCCAAGGTGGCAGTGCACAGCCAAGGAAAGCTGCCCTCCTCATGGCACAAGGAAGCAGAGGCAGGAAAGAGCTCACGAGGAAGCTTCCGAAAGCTGCCCCCAGTGACCTTCCTCCTGCAACAAGGTCCCCCGTCCTAACTCAGCTCCTTAGTAGGTCAGCTCCTCTCAGGATCTAGTCACCTCTGTGTGTGAGTCCTGAGGGGAACCTATTTACACCACAAGAACATAGTACTTTTTAAAATTTTTTTTGGCGGAACCGGGGATTGAACTCAGGCTCTTGCGTTTGCCAGGGAAGCACTTATTCCACTGAACCATCTCCCTGGCCCAAGAACATAGTACTTTTTGAAATTTGTTGATTCCATCCTTTGCCCCATTCTGGTGCACACCTGTAATCCCAGTGCTGGGGAGGCTGAGACAGGAGGATCACTACAGAAGGATTTTTTTTTTTTTTTTTTATGGCTCAGGATGACTTCAGGGCAGATCTGGCAAGGCTTGAGGATCTGGGGATCGAACCACAGCATCCTAAGCCTGACTGCTTTCTTTAAGCAGTGACTTAAACAACTGAGCTAATGGGCAGGCCCCTAGAGAAAGGAACTACAGCATACTGAGCCTGACTGCTTTCTTTAAGCAGTGACTTAAACAACTGAGCTAATGGGCAGGCCCCTAGGAGGATCACTACAAATGAGTCCAAGTTGCAAAGAGAGACCCTGTACCAAATAAATAAACAAATAAAAGATTTTTAAAAATAACAAAACAAACAGCTTTACTAGCATTCTAAATTTCTTTGACTATCCCAGTATCTCATCACTCTTTTTATAATGCTTTTGGGTCCACGTTTTCAGGGGACAGAGTACAGTCCTAACACAACAGAGCATGCTTAGTAGTAGCTATTATTTAATCATTCACTGTGTGCCACTCCGTACTCTAAGCTTTTAGCATGCATTAATCCTTTTGATCCTTGTAACATCCCTATTAACTACAGTTTGCAACTGAACAATGAAGCGCAGAGCGTGTGAGAAGCCCTCCCGCCTTGCAGACCCTGTGCATATCTAATTCAGTTAAGGGACAAGCAGGTTATTTGAGTAACCTTGTTCCTTCCATCCTGGTTTTCTCTGGGCAGAATGAGCCCACTTCCATTTCTGTCCTTTGCTTAGAAAATACTAGTCGATGTTGTATTATGCTTATATGTTAGGGGGTCTATGGATGTATGACACTTAATCTGTTCTCTTAAAGGGCCCACCATCTAACTAGAGAAATAAAATAGTTTTGAACTTTTTTTAAAAAATGCTAGGCTCAGGCCAGAGGGATGGCTCAGTAGAATAAGCGCTTGCCTGGCAAGTGCAAGGGCCTGAGTTCAATACCTGGTTCCGAAAAAAAATGCTGGGCTCGAACACAGGACCTCATGCTAGGCAAACACTGCATCATGAGCCACACCACTGCCTGGGACATAATTGAACATTTGCAAAGACCTGGTACTCTGTGAGCCTGCAGGGCCCAGGTATGTGGGGTTGGGGTTCACCTCCTGCCCAGGCCAGGACGGATTTGGGAAAGTGGGGTCCTCCAGGAAAGCAAGAGGCTCTCTGGGGGAGATATGAACAGACCACACAAAAACATAACTCTTAGCTCAGTTTCTATGGAAAGATTAGAAAGCTACTTCCATGTCCTTCTCAAATCTGGCTACATGTTAATGTTTCTGGTGGCTACCAAAGAGTGCTGGAACTTTTCTTCAACAAAAAAATGCCAGAGGATTAAGACTATTCCTTATCCCAAGATTAGGATGGAAAGAAGGAAATGTAGCCCATAACTTTTTTCTTTTCCTGAATGTGTCCTCAGAAATTTAAAGATATAGATCACATATCTTTTAAAGGCCAACACAAAGAAAAACATAGTATGCCGGCTGAGATCTCCGGAGGTCAGTGGTTGAACAAAGGTGAGCAGAGGATTCTCAGGAGGAGCCCGCAGGCTGTCTGGGGCGAGAGGAGAGCTGTAATTCCTAGTGGGAAAGCACAGAAAGCAACGTACAAAGCAGCGCTCCAACAGAACTTGTGTTTACAAAAACGGCAGAAGCATGATTTACTGCCTGCTCGGAAGAAAAAAATGAGAAAAAAGGTGGCACCCTAAGGCCGGTCTGGGCAGCTTTCCGTTACCCTCACTTCCCCACTTCCAGAATCCCAAAGACTTGGCATTTTTATTTTCTGGAGAACCCAGCTAAAGTGTGTAAAATGCCCCTTTCGTCCTCAGATTCCTCACAAGTTACCCTAAGAAGCTGCCAAGAAAATAGCCATGTCTCCAGGCTAATGGATGAGAAAATATTGCAGTAAGATTCGTTCCCTGGTGCCTTCAGAATTTGTACTTGTGGACCAGAAATCAGACAGGCAGAGAGGAAAACTCAGTTTCTATTTAGGGCCCCAAGGAAGGATGGCTCCTTTCGGTTCATTTTGTTGTTGTTGTTTGTTTATTTTTATTTTTTGGCGGAACTGGGGATTGAACTGAAGCCCTCAAGCACTTACAGGAAAGGATCAGCGCCCAGCTCTGGCATGGGAAATGGGTTGGTCCATATTATTAAGTGATTTGTTAGGGTTGACCAGAAACCTGAGCAGTACTAGCAGCTGAGTCTGTCAGGATAATTCTACCCAAACACCCACAGGAACAGTCTGAATGCTGCTGAGAATCCCACATCAGGAGGGTTGGCAGGATTAGTGAAAAAGAATCCAAGTCATCAGTAAAATTGGAATTTCAGATAACAACAAAAAAAATTAGTGTAAGTGTACCATTTAGTGAGGTGTAAGCTCAGCGCTCTGGGAGGCTGAGGCAGGGGGATCCCAAATTACACCTGCCTAGGCAATTTAACAAGACTGTGTCCAAAATAAAAAATTTGATAACAATCATGGTGGACCCTGCCTGTAATCCCAACACCAAGAAGGTTAAGACAAGAGGACTGCCGAAAATTTGAAACCAGCCTGGACTACATATGAGTTCAAGGCCAGCCTGAAGTACACAGTGAGACCCTGTCTCTAAAAAGCAAAACCTAAAAATTAAAAAAATTTAAAAGAAATGGGATATAGTTCAGTGCAAAGACCCTGGGTTCAACCCTGCAGTACCACACAGACACAAAACAAGTACATTCTGTACTGTTCAAAGTTTGGGCCAGGCACCGTGGCTCGTGTCTGTGGTCCCAACTACTAAGGAAAATGAGGCAGGAGGATTGCTATAGCTTAGGCATTCAAGACCACCCTAAGGAACATAGCTATACTTGCCTCAAAAGAAAAATGGGGACATACTAAAGATTTTTGGGGTTGTTTTGTTTTAATTTACAAGCTTAACTAAGCATCTTGTATTTTATCTGGCAATTTCAAAAAAAAAAAAAAAAGAAGGTAAAGGATTAAATAGTTTTTTTTTCTCCCGTATAGCACATCATCATGTGGGTGGGTGACTAATTCTTCACCAAAATCGTTTGGTCTTTTTTTACCTGGAATCTAGAGCTGGGCGCATCTCCTCGACTCCAGCCTCACTGATTCGGACTTTGGTTTCTATGCAAGGGCTGTGCGCACCATGGTCTCTGCATGAATTTAGCAGCTTGGTGTCAAGTCACACAAACAAAGCTGCAAGAACTGTTTATCTCCTTGGGTGAGGACAGAGTGTAATTACAACATACACAGGGGCTATGGGCACTTAGCCGTGCTCCTCATTCAGTAATTATAGATGGTTCTCGGCCATTCATTAACGGAAAATGTTTCTGCAAACAGGAAGGACCTAAGGGCCGGGTGAGGGGCAGCGGGAGGGCAGCGAGCAGAGTAAGGCTCTGCCGTGCACAGCAGCTTCGTAGGGTACAAACGTCATGAGCCGTGACCATGGCCTGAGGTTAATGACACCGGTAGGAGTGAAAAGTGGGGAAAGGGATGAGAAGAGGAGGGGAAAGGAACGAGATTTTTTTTTAATTTTATTTATGTGTGTGTGTGTGTGTGTGTGTGTGTGTGTGTGCACGCCCAGCTCAGTCCCTCAGTCCACAGCGGGGGAGGGGGGGGCTGGCTGGCATGTGGTGCTGGGGGATTGAACCGCGGTCCCTGTGCTTTGCTAAGCTTGTTCTAAGTAGGTGCTTTAGACCACTGAGCCATCTCACCAGCCCCAGGAACGAGATTTTTAAGAAGCAGCAGCAAGTTGCCTTAGGAATGGCCACCTGTGCCCTGAGATGACTGAGAGCCGCGTCCTGCAGAGGTGCGCTGTGGCAGAGTAGGGCTTCGCCAGGCCTAGTCAGGGCGGCCAAGCAGTCCCCGGACCAGCTTTGGCGGAGCTGGAGGAGCTGCGTGCGCCACCTTCCTCTGCGTACCTGTGGGTCTGTAGGACGGCACTTCTGAGGTCCCGCCCTCACCGTTAAGGGATGCGTGGCTACATGGGTAACATGCTCATGCGCACACTGACACGCCCACAGAGGCACCAAAGACATGGGGTGTGGCCTGCGTGGACACCAGTTAGTTACAGCTGTCACTGCTGCTGGCGTTAGTGACCAGAAACTGGAGTGCAGACAAGTGCTTCAAACCCCATGGTTGTTGCTGGATAGCCATGCATGCAGGACCTCAGGGGAGCCCTGAGAGCCACCAGGGAATCCTGCTCACTGGGAGCTGCACCAGCCCTGGGCCACTTTGAGGGAAGTTGAACATGAGCAGGAGCACAGGGAATACCTGCAGCCCAGGCCTGGAGATAAGCTGAGTAACACTGTCCTCAGTTCCCACCAGCAGGTTTCTGCTCTCTGCAGCAAAGAACTTTCGCTCCAAGGAGAGACGGTAGATACCTTCCCCACTGCCCATGCCACCCAGCTCTCAGGTGGGATTGCCAAGCAGGCACCCTGGAGAAGGCAGGAGTCCTTGGGTCCGGCCTCTAGGAGAGCGGAGACACATCTAACCCTTCTGTCTGTCTCTTCTCACAGCACCCTGGAGGGCTACTACGTGGACGATGCCCTGCAGGGCCAGGGTATCTACACCTACGAGGACGGCGGAGTCCTCCAGGGCATCTACGTGGATGGGGAGCTGAATGGGCCTGCACAGGAGTACGACACAGATGGGCGGCTGATCTTCAAGGGACAGTACAAAGACAACCTACGGCATGGAGTGTGCTGGATCTATTATCCAGTAAGCCTATGATGGTTTACTTTATGGGGATAGGAACATGCCTTAAGACAAGGCTTCAGGGCTCTGGAGCCGGGGAGATGGCTCAGTAGAACAAGTGCTTTGCTGGCAAGCACAAAGGCCTGAGTTCAATCCCCAGTTCCACCAAAAAAAAAAAAAAAGACAAGGCTTCAATTCCTAAGAGTACAATGTACGAGAGGCCTGGCAGCATTGCCCTATAATCCCAGTGCTCTGGGGAGGCTCAGGCAGTAGGATCGAAAGTTCAGACCCAGCTTGTGCAATGTAATGATTTATCCAGACCCTGCCTCAAAATAAAAAGGACTGAAGTATCTCCAGCTCAGGGTGGGACCCTGGCCACGCCCCAGGAACTGTCCATAATTTGCAGAAAGGATGAAGCATGAGTGGGACAAACTGGTTTTATCAAAGCATTAATACAGTCAGAATATACTGCTTTTGATTCCTTTAATACACAGAAAAAAGAAGTGGTGGGGGAGGGCAGTGTTACTGTTAATTTTATTGTGTTTCTCAGATGTAAGATTGAATCCAGCAGTATTTTACCTTTGTTGTTGTTGTTGTTACTACAACATCACTGCTTAATTTTACAATCACATTGATTGTGAAGTTGTTTTATGGTTTATATTACTTAAATTTAGGTGATTTAAATGACCTTGCTTTGGGTACTTGAAAAACAAGCTTTCTGGAGTTTTTTAGAGCAAACAGACACACAAAAAACATGGCTGTGAATTAATGCGGGAATTTTTTGTTTACATTTCAAATATCCCATCTGTTGTGGGCACATTTCCAAAAAATGTTTCAGAAAGTAGATCATGGGAAGTATTTTATTTAACATTTTATCATGACCAGAACTGAAAATATATTTTTGCTTACTTGAAACCTACCTTTTTATGATGAAAAAGTTGTGGGGCGTTTTTGTTTTGTTTTTTAACTTTCTGCAAAGCTTTATTCCAGAGGGGCTCAGTCCTTCTTGGCAGCTGCCTTCCTCACATGGCCAGCACGTTGCTCTGCTCCTCACGCTTCCTCTTGGCGCGGATGTGCGTCCCCACCCTTTTCTTGATGAACTTGAGGGCACGCTTGTCCTTGGAGACCTTGAGCAGCTCCATAACACACTGCTCATAGGGGGCAAAGCCGCACACCTCCCGGATCTTGTCCCGAATGAACTTGGTGTGTTTGGTGAGACGTCCGTGAAGGCGGCTGGCAGCTGTGCTTCAGTTTACTCACATTTTTGGTCACTTTGTGGCCCTTGTTGAGGCCCATGGCCATGGGATAGCGGAGGGCCATGGCTACTCTTCTTTGATGGTTGAGAAGGCTATGATTAAAAAGTATTAACAAAAACAAATTATTACATGTGTACCAAGAAAAGTAGCCTTTTAGGGGCCGGGGAGATGGCTCAGTAGGATAAGCGCTTGACTGGCAAACGCAAGGATCTGAGTTCAATCCCCGGTCCTGCTAAAAAAAAAAAGAAAAAAGAAAAGAAAAGAAAGAAAAGTAGCCTTTGTAGTGAGATAGCTCAGCAGACTAAGCATGTATTTAGGCAAGCACAAGGACCAGGGTTCAATCCCTGGCACCATTTGCTACCCCCACCATGCCAGTCCGGGCGTGGTGGCACACGCTTGTAATCCCAGCGCAGGGAGGCTTGAAAACAGGAGGATCACTACCAGTCCAAGCTGAGTAGTGAGACCTTACACCACATACATTTTAAAAAAGGAGAAAAGTAGACTTTGCTAAATTTATTTATATGAAATTATTCTAAAGAAATTATTTTAGGGGGCCTGCCCTTTAGCTCAGTTCTTTAAGTGGCTGCTTCAACAAAGCAGTCAGGCTCAGGTTGCTGTGGTTCGATTCCCACAACTCAAGCCAGCCAAACCTGCCCTGAAGGCACTCGGAGCAAAAAAAAAAAAAAAGAAATTATTTTATCTGGGTATGATGACCGCCTAAGTCTTACTCAGGAGGCTGAGGCAGGAGGACCATGTTGGGGCTGGAAGCTCAAGTCTGATGTGAGCAACACAGCAAGGCACCAGCTCTCAGGGAGGAGAGAGGGAAGGAGAGAGGATGGGTGTCAGTTGCACTGTAGAAAGAGAACACTGTAAAGTTTTTCCTAAGAATTACCTGTTATTTACATATTCTCTTGGTACAATTTATGGTCCATCAGATATTGTTTTGTTCATTGACCCAAAGTAGGCAAACAGGACAGAAAGGAGGAGGTACTTTCAGGTTAGGGAAACTGAGGCCCAGCTTCCTGAGCATCAAGGTTGAGCAGTTTCTTCCCAGCACCCTGGTGCA